ATTACTGTCCATGTAAAAACCTGCAAGTACTTTTATAACAGTTTTCAATCACAAAAGCTAAAAACAAACAAAAATCTGCACAGAAATATGATGTACACCTTTAATAAAATAATCAAAACTGGAAACAGCTTAGATATCCTTTAAAAATTGGCATTTTTACTCCATGGAATATTGATCAGGGTTAATATATATGAATAATACAGCCACAAGATGATATAATATATATGTATGTGTCTGTATCTTTATATTATGAAGAAGACCATGGCAGAAAATCCCCAAACTTCATGATGTATCTTATTTTAGAAGAAGCAAATAATTGGAGAGTGTAAAATTATCTGTAGTTTCAGGAATATAAAAGAAACAGAAGGAAAATTACATATGTGAATGCTGAATATTAGTCTTAGAGCCATGGAGTTATTCTATGATTCTGTAATGATGCATAAGAGACACTAAGAAAATGTCAAATTCACTAAAATCTCACAGCACTGCGCAGAAGCTCCATGCTGTGTAGAAACATCACTGAGGGGTGGTGTCCCCATGACAGGAGGCAGATGGGGGGAACCATCCACCTGCTCTGCAGAAGCAGAAGCCCGCCTTCCTCTGGGAGTTGGGGGAGAAGCTGCTCCCATAAGTCACTCTGAGAATGAGGAGAGGCCATAGGGGTGAAGGCCGAAGACACTGCCCCTGAGCCCTGGGCTCTGTCATGAATGGGATCCCCCTGATGAGGCCCAGGGTGCTCATGGACCCCGAGGTTCTTGATTTCTACATGGGAAGGAATTCCTGCGGAAGTCAGTGTGGGCGAGCAGGGAATGAAGCTTTATTGTGGGGAAAGTGCTCGCTTGAGAGTGAAGGGGGCACATTCAGGGACTAGCCCCTGGGTCTTAAGGCTGCTGATGGAAACACGTGTTTAGTTAGAGGGGCAGGAGCTCACAGATGGGATCCTGAATGGGTTTGACAACTTTTGCTTAAGGCAAGGGCAGGAATTTACAGGGAGGGGTAATAAGATTTGACCCATTTGTTTGCCCAAAACCGACAGCCTCTCCAGGCCTGTTAGATAAGACAGGAGAGTTACACAAGCAGTGGCTCCCCTGTGGGACATAAACTAATAGGCTTAGAATCAATCTAGTGAGTCACTTTGTTCTGAAATGTGCATGACTGTGTTTCAGAAATACAAAAAGAGGGAGTAGGGGTCTGCAGCCATTGTGCCCAAGTCCTGGTCTACCTCACCACGGGCCCTGTTCAGGGATTGGGGGTTGGGGAAGGGAATTGCCAGGACTTGGATGAACAATCCAGAATGGGACAGGGTGGACAATGGTGGGAGCAGGTTTCTCACTTTGGGAGTGGAAATGCACGTGTGTAACCAAGGGGAGGAGCAGAGTGACCACGTGGTGATGGACGAGGGTGGGAGACGTCACACAGAGCTCGTGCTGGTATCAGGGAGACAAAAATGGGCACATGGTCTCCTGGGTTAGCTCACTCATCTCTGTACATGTGTTTCCTACTCTCTCAGTGGAGAAGGACTTTCAATAATGACACCCCAACAGCAAGGAGTGTGCTTTTTGGCAGAAAATTGATTTCCCATACCTTCTCTAATAAACAAGAGAAGGCTTTGTATGAAGAAATTTTCAATTCCAGGTTGAGAATCATTTAATATGAGCATGGAACACCTTGCTTTAACAGAAAGTAGATTTTTCAAACATTTATCTCAGCACATAGAGTCAGCTCACACTCATATGCACAGGACAGGGGTGTCACAGAGCACCTGAGCCACCCTTAAGGACCCCCATTGGGTGAAGCAGAAACAACTGGAGCAACCAAATAAACAGACTAGAATGGGGCTGTATTTCTGTGAACATTCAAGGACAGAAAAATTACAAAGGACACAGACTCAAAAGAACGAGAAATAATTATCCCATCGTTCCAGATGAGATGGTGCAACACACAGAATATACAAAGGAATCTACAAATATGATGTGAATTCCAATAGTCAGAAGTAATTTAAGATTATATGATAGAGGAGCATTAGGAAGATCAGTTAGGTGTGTGTATACTACCAAAGAATAAGTGAGAACTCTTGGGGTTTATAGGCTTGAAAGAGAGATCCTGCTCCTTGCCAGCTTACAAGGAGAGAGATTAAAACAGAAAAGGGAAGCTGAGGAGTTACCATGGGAATCAGGTAACCTCTAGCACAGAAGGGTAGCAAATGGTGGTTACTGAAACAGGGTCAGGAAGCACACCTGTGGCCATTAAATGCTGATGTAAATTCTAAAGCAAAGCAAAGTCTGGCCTGACTTTAGATAAAAGCCAGTGAAGGCAGGAGCCCTGAATATTAGAAAACCAGCAAGGTCAGAGTGTAAGAGGTCCCTCCAACACCCATCTTCTTAGAGGGGAACAGTTGCCTTGTGCCCCTCGCTCCCTTACATGGTATTTGCCGGGGACCAGCCTCCAGCTTAATGCCGTGTCAGGGGTTCCTGAAAGGATGAGATGGCCTAGGTGACACGTTAAGGGGCTGAGGGGAAGGAGATGAGGTAGTGAGAATACACTGACACTGGATGAGGTGCAAGTATTTTCTGCTGAGGGGCTCAGCAGGTTTTTTATTTATGCATTTTTAGCAAGCTGTGAGATTACATTATCATGTGCATAGAAACAGCAGAAACAATCAGTGCATCCCTTTTCCCATAGACTTTTGGCCACTAAGTGCTCTCAGCAAGAAGGCAAACTTTAAAGTTAATAAAAAACTAAGCCTTTCACTAAAACTCATTGTTTCAGCTAAACAATAACCTAAGACAGTTGATAGCCGCCAGTACCTCCCTATCAGCTAAAGCCTAAGCAAGAAGACTTTTCTTATTCACATGGCCTTCAGCCGGAGACCAGCTCTACTCAGCTATCAGAACTTTTTCTACGTAGAAACTCCTTAACTCAAATAGCTTCATTTAAAAACTTTCCCAAGAAACTTCAAGAGAAGGCAAAAGAAGGACTTACTATAATTATTGTGTTGTAATGCTTGTCAGGCATGTTCAATAAATTGTCTCCCATTGTCAAGTGGGCCAAATTGTTTAATAACTAATTTCTAAACAGATAATTTTCTGTGCCATTCACTTACAGTATGCTGATACGTATAATTTATTGCCTAATATACTTTCTGATAAATTTTTCTCTCTTCGTGACCAAGAACAAAAAGCAAAGGGATGTTAGATCTTCAGCCCCCTGGTGTGAGGCCCTTTTTCTTAGCTGCTTGCTAGTGTCTTATCTGCCTGGGGCAACAAGGCCCCCTGAAGCAGGTATTCAATACAGCTGCCTTTTCTATCCTCCACCCTGTCTCTGTGAGTTTTTCACCCACACAACAAAAACTGAATTACAATAATAGTCAAAACCTGTCTAACTGAAATATTCAGGAGCATAATTATGAGGGGATGTTCAGCTCGTGTGTGGTAGAAACTGGACAGTGGAGGTAAAAGATATCAAGATGACAGACATCAGTGGAGACCTGTCCTGCTCATGGAGAGTAGACTCGGTGTAGTAAAGATGCCAGTTCTTGCCAAATCATAAGGTTTGATGATTTCTATCTGAACATAACAGACTGATTTGGATAAAGGGACAAACAAATAGGTCAGTGTAACAGAACAGAGAATGCAGAAAAAGACTCAACTACTTGTTGACAAAGTTCCAAAATCCTTCCCAGGAAGGACAGTCTCCTGCACAAAAGGTGACAACCATTGGGGATTATCCAACCACCAATGGATATCAACTACATCTCACACCTTATGAAATGTTCACTGGAGTATATTAAAGAACTAACTAAAACATGACATTTTTGAAGAAAATAGGTGAAAATACTTGTTAAAATTTCTTGGTAAATACTTATAGACAAGACACCACCAGAAGTCTTTAAAAAATATAAATTAGACATCATCAAAAATAAATGTGTTGGGGCCTCCCTGGTGGTGCAAGGGGTTAAGTACCACACTATGAAGCTATCTGCAGCCCTGCAGCACAAGTTAGATCCCCCGCCAGTCAGGGAGCAACCCACTTGGCGAAGCAGAACTCTCCTGTCTTGCCCACTGTTCCCTCAGCAATGTATTTCAGTCAATCTGCCTGTTCTGGTCCCCACTCTGTCTCTGATGAATCCTCTCACCCCCCACATCTCTGGCCTGTTCCCCAGCTCTTGTACGCATTAATAAATAAATTTTAAAAAATGTGCTGTTCTTCCTTCACTTTGTGAAATAGTAAGACAATTAAATCACTCAAAAATAGATTATTAAGATGCAATTTGACTTACAGAAGCATAATTGGAATCCATTCCTTTCATACACATGAGTGTGGAATAGTGAAAATGCTCCAGGTGCTAAATTGGAGAGTGATGGGGAAATGTGATTTTGCAGGATCTGCTCTGGGCAAACCAGATTTAAGCAGTTATGTACGTACATGCTGCGTCTTCCTACACCAGGACTCCACTGGGAGTGGAGACGCCTCAGTGACTCTGTCAGCACTAAGGGTCTAGGAGTCAAACCTTGCATGTGTGACTAGACACAGGACCTGGTGATCTGCAGACAGCAGCTGGGCTCCCAGTGTTGTTACTCCTGGTGAATATGCTCTGTGACCAGCAGGGGGCACTGTGGGACTGTCCTCTGGGCCCTCAACAGCTGCTCAGTGAGCATATTTTTACTTTGGTGCTTGGGCCTGGGAGCTGGGCTCTGGGGTCCCAGATGAAGAGTCAGCAGCTCTGATCACTCCACCTGTCACATTCTCTGAGCAGAAACTTCAGGGAGGGGTCAGCAGGTGCTTCCTCCCAGGCCTCTCCCAGAGAGGGAAGCATAGCCTACTCCTCTACAGTGCTGGGTGAGAGCTGAGCTCCAGCCACAGTGCTCAGGGAGGGGCTGGGCAGCCCCTGGTGAGAACCCATTTGCATGCACAGCCCCTCCTGTGGCAGAGGCTGGAGAAGAAAAGGGAGCCTGCACCTGGCCTGGGCAACTATAGGGCTCAGCAGGGTTGTGAGAACCATGGCCTGGTGCCCTCTGCTCCTCATGCTCATCTCTCATTGCACAGGTAATTGGCTATGGGGAGCAGGTAGGTGGAGCTGTCTTTGTCTTGAGACCCCAGCAAAATCATCTCCGTGTCTCTCCTTCTTCCAGGATCCTGGGCCCAGTCTGTGCTGACCCAGCCACAGTCAGTCTCAGGGAACCTGGGCCAGAGGGTCACCATCTCCTGCACTGGAAGCAGCAACAACATTGGGAGTAATTATGTGAACTGGTACCAACAGCTCTCAGGAACAGCCCCCAAACTCCTGATACATGGTAGCAGCAATCGACCCTCCGGGGTCCCTGATCGATCCTCTGGCTCCAAGTCTGGCAGCTCAGCCACCCTGACCATCACTGGGCTCCAGCCTGAGGACGAGGCTGATTATCACTGTACAAGTTGGGACAGCAGCCTGAGTGGTCCCACAGTGCTCCAGGCCTGTGGGGAAGTGAGGCACAAACCCATTTCTCTTCAGCCAAGAGCAGGCACCCTGGGGAGCTGCTACTGAGGCTCAGCCTGGGGCTCTGCTTCTTCTCTGCTGCTGTCCTGGCCCAGGCTCCTCCAGGGCAGCCCCTGGGGGAGGCCCCTCTCTCCCTCTGTCCTCAGAGTCACTCCCAGCAGCACATCCCTAAGTTGAAGTGTCTCCATAGAAACATAGTGTCTTGATCTCTTCAGGTTAGGGCTGGTTACATTCAGAATGGTTTATATTCATTTTTTCCCATTCCAAAATATTAAGAATTCATTTTCCTGCCCTTCAATACATCACGGAATATCACACCCTCTGTTGTATGCTTAATAGGATAAGTCAACCCTGCTGTAGCTGCCATCTTATTTATCTAACTTGAACCGGTGCTGAGTACTTTTTCTTAGTCAATGATTTTTCATGAAAAGGAATCAGTTTAACGTTATGCAATCATAAAAATGAATCTAAGTAATTTGTCCACAGAAAAACATCCAGATGACTGTTTATATCAACATTTCCATCATTTTTTAAGGATTTATTTTGTTTATTTTATACAAGAACTGGGGTACAGGCCAGATGTGCGAGAGGGCAAGATGATTCACCAGAGACAGAGTGGAAAAACAGAACAGGCAGACTGACATAATACACTGCTGAGGAGAGCAGCGGGCGCCACAGGAGAGGTCTGCCTTACCACGTGGGGCTGGCTGGGATCAAACTGCTGCAGAGGATTCACAGCTCGGCACTCAACAGCCTGCGCCCACAGGGGAGGCCTGCAACTTTTCCATCATTATCAACAACTGAAAACAAATAAAAATCTTGGCATGATGCTTATTAGATCTTTGCATCTAATCACGAAAAATGGAGTCAACTTTGACAGCCTTCGCAAGGTAGCATTTGTGTACCAGGGGATGTTTTTCAGAACTAAGAAGAATGAACTATACAGTTACCTAATGAGACATGTGGTGATAAATTAAGTTGTAAGGAAAAGAAAAGTGACTGAAAAGCTCATCTGTGGCCACTTCCAGAGTGAGCTCACCCCAGTCTGTTCCACCTGCTCATCTCTATTAATTGTGTGTTTACACCCTCATGTCATTTATAGCAAATACTTGGTTTCAAATATCAAATATCAATTCTTTTTTTTTTTTAACACACTATAACTTTTTTTTTTTTTTAAGATTTATTTATTTATTTATTTATACAAGCACTGGGTACAGTCAGAAGCGTGGGAGGGTGAGAGAATTCACCAGAGCCAGAGCGGGGAGCAGAGCAGGCAGAAGGACCGAAGTACACTGCTGAGGGGAGCAGCGGGAGGCAGGAGAGGTCTGCGAGCCATGCGGGACCCTCCTCTGGTGGCCGGGGAGCAGCCGGGGATCGAACCAGCGCCATAGAGGCTGCGAGCAGCTTCGCAACCCAGCACTCAACTGCTGCGCCACCGGGGAGGCCCTCAACTTTTTTTTTTAAAGATTTGTTTATTTATTTATACAAGCACTGGGTATAGTCAGAAGCGCGGGAGGGTGAGAGAATTCACTAGAGCCAGAGCAGAGAGCAGAACAGGCAGACTGAGGAAGTACACTGATGAGGGGATCAGTAGGCATGCCAGGAGAGGTCTGCGTGCCATGTGGGACCCTCAACTGCGGCCGGGGATTGAACCGGCGCTGCAGAGTCTGTGAGCAGCTTCACAGCCCAGCGCTCAGCTGCTGCGCCACCAGGGGAGGCCCTCAAATATCAATTCTTATCACCAATCAGTGTCTCTGTGGAAACAAGTGAGAGCAGGAAGGTAACCAGGACCCCTGTCTGTCTGAGAGTGACAGTGCAGAGTAGGAGCCAAAAGGCTGAGGAGGGGGGAGTCTGCACGTGCCTGTTTTTATTTTATTTTTATATATATGTAGGTATGTATATTAGTGTGTGTGTGTGTGTATATATATATATATTTACATAGTTGTTCGTTTTTGTATAATGTTTCATATTTCCCCTCAGGTGTAATCCCCATAAAATTCCCACCACCAAGTCACCCCTGAACATCCCCATAGTCTCTTGTGCTCCTCCCTCCTCTTTTTTGACCCCTCTCTCTCCCCTTCCCCCACTTTATGTCTCATTTCTAGTTTGCCTGCAAGTTTTGTCTTTTTTTTTTTCCCTGATCCCTTGTTCGATTTCCCTGGATTCCTCCTGTAAGTGAAGCCATCCGAAATTTTCCTTCTTCCTTCTGACTGATTTCACTGAGCATTATCCCTTCCAGCTCCATCCATGTTGCAGCAATGGCATGAATTTTGGTCCTTTTTATTTGAAATTCCCCCCACCCCCAGCCACTTCCACTCCCCTGATTCTCCCAGGACAAAGCCTTTTGTCTGTTCTTGAGCAGCAGCCAGGAAAGTGGGAACAACAGGCAAGAGGAGAAACAGCCCAAGCAACATCCTCCGACCTCCCCGGCAACTGTTGAGGGAGGGATTTCCTCCTGGTTTCAGAAATGCCTGAAAGCTGGTTTCCAAAACATTACCTCTACCTGGGGTCATCCATTCTTTTTGTATACAGGCTACCTGATTCCCACGAAATGGGAGAAGCCCAGGAAAGGAACCAAAAAGCCAAGGGCGGGGCCCCTGCTGTGTGAGGGAAGGGCCTGTCCTACACTACTGCACTGGTCTCATCAGTGTAGTGGATGGGTGGTGGCACTAGAGGAACTGTCATTTTTCCTTGCACTGTGAGTCCTTCCCATGGAGAAACAAAAATTTCAACCCTGGTCATTCATCCCCAAAAGTCACCATTAGCCTGGTTAGGTCCTCCAAGTAGGGATCCCCTGCAGAGGACACTGTCATCCACTGACTTCCAGGCTCACCGCACAGTAGTTGAAGCACCTGGCAAATCGGTGATTTCAGTAAATGTCCTTTGCCCCTATTTCTCGGTTCACTATTCAGTCACTGCTTTCTAAATTCACTTCACAAACTCAAGGTACTAATCAGGTACAGCCTTTCTCACTCTAGTAATTGTCAGCGTGGGGTTACCTGCTGAGGAGCCTCCTCTGCCACCTAAATAATGGGATGCTCCCCCCACAGCCCTGTGTACATCAGATTTCCATAATCTTTAAAAGTATCCAAGCAAATTCAGTTGCAAACATTATTGAATAACTGGGTTAATCATTGATGTGAAGTAAACGGAGGAGCAACAATAGCACACACAAAATAAGTGTCTTAAAGCAAATACATTTCCTTTGTATTTTCATTTTATTTTTCAGAGGCAGAGGATCTCCCCAGTTCTCTGGCAGGTTTATAATGACAATGAATGGACGACTGATGGACAAGATCCAGTCACTGTTAACTTTCTCAGCAATAGGCTTAAGCTACTGCTTTCACCTCCTGCACACCTACATATAAAGTCACACTGGGCACAGAGTCCACATCTACAGAGGAAGCTGTCACTCAAGTGTCAGGGGAGTGTCACGGGGGGAGCATCTTTTGTCCTTAATACATCTTTTGTAATACAAGTGTCTCCACATTGTCCAAGGATCTGCATGGGTAAGGTTGGTGACAGCCCTGAAGTCACCCTTACCCATACAGCTTTGTTACTTGGTATTGCACACACATTCTCACTCTTTGATTTAATAAGCCCCCTAGAAAACGAATACTTTTCCGTTCAGTCATTTCCCTTTCAGTGTGCATTGCAAAAGTTGAACTCAAGAAATGAGACTCCCACTCTAACTCACAGTTTGAGAGATCATTACTCCCTCTTCCTAAAACTGTCAAGCCCTATACAATCAAGGTGACTCATGATTGAACATGAGTCTTCAACAATTTGGCAACTTGAGTGTAGAAACTGGTCTCTAGATTCCACCTCTTGTGTGAAAGCAGCTGTGTCCAATTTGCCTTCAACAGGCTACCCTGTTTGCTGAGGATCCACAAACAGGTCCCTTCTCCGAGGGAAGGCAGAACCAGCACTGCAAGCTCAGTTTGCCTCTCCAGTTTCATCAGAAAGGAGTTCAGGGAGAGGGTTTCATTGCGAAGTTGCCTGGGAAGGACAGCTCAGGACTCGCTCATTTTCTTTGTAAAAATTTCATCAAATTCCCACATCGAACATGTTCTCATTGTATCAGAAAAAATATAGGTTGGAAGATGGTTTATATTTCTGTCAGCTTCATCTTCTTCAGCAACTATGCTGTTTTCAGTTTCCTGACACTCCCTTTGAGCAACTTCATGCTGTGGTTCTCCACTTCCCTGCTCCACCTCTTCACAGATAACATCTAACATGCTATGTGGAAAAAGGCCACGAGGGCATGAATTACCCCCTGATCCTGACCTCCTCATGTGCACATCGACCCCATCATGAGACCAGCACAGCAGTATGTTCCCATCAGCCTTTCCTTTCTTGTCAGTCTTCCTCCTACTTCTCCTCCTCCTCCTCATGTTTATTTTTACAGTGAACTGAAACATCTCTGTGTTACACGCCAGCCAAGGCTGCTCCAGCGGGACAAAGCTGGGTCCAGGCTGCAGGGCCAGCGGTGGCTGGCACTTGAAAAAATGTTCACCTTTCCTTATAATTAGGGAAATGAAAATCAAAATCACAATGATCTATCATCATACACCTGTAAGAATTGTAACTATTGGGCCTCCCCTGTGGCGCAGCGGTTGAGCGCTGGGTTGCGAAGCTGCCCGCGGCCTCTGCGGCGCCGGTTCGATCCCCGGCTGCTCCCCGGCCACCGGAGGAGGGTCCACATGGCGCGCAGACCTCTCCTGCCGCCCGCTGCTCCCCTCAGCAGTGTACTTCGGTCCTTCTGCCTGCTCTGCTCCCCGCTCTGGCTCTGGTGAATTCTCTCACCCTCCGCGCTTCTGACTGTACCCAGTGCATGTATAAACAAACAAACAAACAAATAAATAAATAAAACATGCCTCTATTAAAAAAAAAAAAAAAAAAAAGAATTGTAACTATTATAATATCTAGAAATAGACATGATGGGGATATAGAATAAAGGGAACTCTCATCCACTATTACTACAAATGTAAATTGGAACAGCCACTCATTAGAGAAAACCACATGGAGGTTTCACAAAAAAATACATCTATATGGGCTAGAAATACTATAGAATACAGCTACTCCACCATTGGGTACTTATATTTTTTTAAAAAGAGCTTAGCTATAAAAGATATAGGCATCCTTTCATTCATTGCAGCATGATCTATAATAGCCAAGTTGTCAAACAACATAATTTTCCAAGCTGCCCGCAGCCTCTGCAATGCCATTTCAATCCCTTGCCAGCCTGCTAGGGTCCCACACGTCGCGCAGACCTCTCCTGCAGTTCCCCCTGCTCCTCTCAGCAGTGTATTTCCTCATCTGCCTCTTCCGCTCCCTGCTCTGGCTCTGATGAATTCTCTCACCTTATGGTGCTTCTGACTATAGCAAGTGCTTGTATAAATAAATAAATAAATCTTAAAAAACGATGTGATATACATTATATATAGGAGAGAAATATATAATGAAATATGACTGCTACAAAAAAAGATGAAATTTTGCAAGCTGAGAACACATGAATGGACTTGAGAGTATTATGGTAAAGAAAATAAATCAGAGAAAGTAAGACAAATACTGCACGATTTTAATCATATGTTGAACATAAACAAACAAAGCAAAAGAAAACTCTCTGATACAGGGCACAGTTTAGTGGTTCCCAGAAGGGAAGGGGCTGAGGGTGTGGGTGGAAAAGGAAAGGGACAGATGGACGGGGATGGATGGAAACTAACCCTTCCGTGATGGTCATGACGTGGTGACCACCCAGCTTGAGTTATAATGATGTACACCTGGCACTTAACATTATAAACCAGTGTTTCTCAGTAATTGTATTGAAGGGAATAGGCTCCATCCTGCCACTCTCTGCACAGCTGTCAGAGTTGGATGCTATTAAGGGGGTGACTTCTGACGCAGGACATAGCAAGGCCAGAAGTGCAGAGTCTTTCCTGGCACCTGGTGCTCCTGCAGCGCACAGGGTCCCGAGGCGCCCTCTGGTGGTGGGCGCGAGCACTGCCCAAAGCGGGAAGACAGGACAGACCCTTTGGATCTTTAAAGCACCAGAATCCTGGGCTACAGGGGAGCAAAGAACAAAATCTACAGAACACAGGGTTTTCACTCAACCTGGAAGTGTCTCTTATCCCTTGATGTTCTGTCTGATTATGTGACTTTCCTGAGAAGAGAATTAGGACTGAGGTACCCAGAGACTTTAATGAAGATTTGGTGAACGATGTCAACCTATTACTCAGTTTCCCAGTCAGTGTGTCTGAGGTCCCAGCATCTGCTTCTTTCAATCTCCCCAGGAGACAGCATGGGGACCCCAGGGCAGGAGGAACGACGAAGCTGATTTGCATGAAGCATCTTCCCCCCTAATGGGTCCAGGAGGCATGAAAAGGTTGAGGACACCACACTCCAGCCCAGGAGCCCAGGAGGCCACATCTTGGGAGTGTCCCCACCTTGGCCTGGACAGTGCTTCTGCTCAAGCTCTTCGCTTACAGCTCAGGTCAGGGAAGGGACTCTCTCCTAGGTCTGGGTGAGGGTAGAACACATAAAAGCAGGATGACCTGATCTCTTAACAATACTTGCCTCTCTCCTGTCATTTCAGGGGCTGATTCTCAGACTGTGACCCAGGAGCCATCACTGTCAGTGTCCCTAGGAGGGACGGTCACACTCACCTGTGGCCTTAGCTCTGGGTCAGTCTCTGCTGGTAACTATCCGGGCTGGTTCCAGCAGACCCCAGGCCGGCTCTACACATGCTGATCTACAACACAAATAACCGCCCCTCTGGAGTCCCAAATCGCTTCTCAGGCTCCATTTCTGGAAATAAAGCCGCCCTCACCATCAGTGGGGCTCAGACCAAGCATAAGGCCGAGTATCACTGTGTACTGTACATGGGTAATGGCATTTGCACAGTGATATGAACCCATGGGGACTTGCAGCCAAAACCTCCTCAGATGCCCAGAAGGGCTCAGCCTCAGAAGGAGGAAAGAGAAAGGCTGAGGGTAAATTCCCCTGGGGGAGAGAGGCTCTGTGACCTTGTAAGTATTGGCTAATCCACAGGTACCTCCTCCTGGCCCCCCAGACTGTGTGCATCTCCAGTGTGAATCCTGGGGACTGTGCCTGTGCCTCCTTCCTCCCTCTTTGCAGGAGTTGACCAGGAGAGCCCCCAGCTCCCCAGCTCAGAGACTCCTGCACCCCAGGAAGACTTATTCAAAGAGCACTAACAGCTACACCCTCATTCATGAATTAAGCATGCAGAGAAAGGAGCATTTCCTCTCAGGGTTAAATGGGAGCATCACTGGGAGCTTCTGGAAATGAAATTCCCCTTCTCAACCCACTGAGCTGAAGCCTGTGCTGTGAGTGAGGATCAGCTTTAACCAGCATCCAGGAGACTTGTGTGAACAAGAAACGTGGTGCCTTGTCTCTGCCTCTATTGTTATCAAGGCAATGTTTAACATGTTGTGAGGGTGACATCCCATGATACATTCACTGCCCCCCCCACAAATTATCCTTCAGTAATCCAAGACCCTCAGAAACAGATTTAAAAATGAAGCCATCACTGAAATTGTGGTTGAAATCAAACTACAGCCAGGAATTGAAAGATTTCAGGCAAAGGTCCTCTAAGGATTTAAGAGGAAAATAAAAATCTGAATAAGAGGTAAT